CCCAAAAGGGCTGGGCATTTTACAAATGTAGGAAGTTCAGAGTTTTTCCCTGAGGAATTACAAGTGCACAAAAAGTAATAGTAGACCTACTCAGCACCGCAGCTTTCAATATGAACCCTAGAAGATTAGCTCTTTGATTTTTTTTTTTTTTTTTTTTTTTTTCCTTTTTAGTCTGGTTGTGAGAAAAATGTTTATGCTTGCATTTGATTTGAGCCATGTTTACTAAAGAATGTTGGAGAAAGTATTATATGCCATCTTTCCAGATGTCTTAATGAGATTATGTAAGGCACTTGTGTTGCTATTCGTACAAATATTTGCGATATCTACGGATTTGAGAAACTTAAATATTGTGAATACTGAATAAATCCCATTAGTGGGTTTATGTGTACTCAAAAAAGGCAGTTTCCCCTTTATTAACTATTTGTATTGTATTTCCTAGGAGGTTACGATGGCTATCGCCCTTCATTCTCCAACACTCCAAACAGTGGTTACACACAGCCCCAGTTCAACACTCCACGGGACTATCCCAACTACCAGAGGGTAAGCCAATATTGAGCTGAAATTCTAGGACTGAAAAAATTGCTTAATTTAATGAAGACAGGTTTTTGTGCTCACTCTCTCTGTCTTCAGAGAGCCTGTCAATCATGTCTTCAACATCATTAGATGAACTATTATCTTGACATGTTATCAAAAAGATAACTAAAAATGTCCAGCCACAGATTGCAACCAGTGAAACAAAAATTCACCCTTACCTTCCAGACTGACGATATTAAATTCACAGTGGGATTTGAGCATAAAGGTGTTGTGTCCACCACTCTACCTCATGAGCTTCAAAAAATTGCCAGATTAGTTTATTTACCCAGGAGCAAGCCTTTAGAGTGGTGCAGCAGTAGGAAATTATTCTCACTGTGCGCTGAAAACAATTGATTTTTTTCTTCCTCACAAGACCAGGATTTCCTGAAAAGTAGTACAAAGCTATATGTTGATGGTGCCCAAACTCGTCACTTCATCAAAATATGATTGGATTATTTGTAATGCTCTTTAATATTTAATAAATATTAATATTTTACTGGTAAATATGTATCTTCCTGAAGAATAACAAAAGAGTTCATCTTGATGAGACCTTAATTTACTTTCCCGCACTTTCTTTAGGATGGATATCAACAGAATTTCAAACGTGGCTCTGGACAGAATGGACCTCGGGGAGCCCCTCGAGGTAATTCTCAAGTGATGATGTGTTCTCAACTCTGCTGAATTGGATTTTCTAATTCACTCTCTAGATAGTTGTAGATTTTTAAAAATAATAATGTTCAACTAACAGGCTGCAATTCAACAATGTATTTAAACTTCCTCAGACCTTTGTTAGAAGGAGTTAGTTTTTTGGCTGTTGGACAGAATATTCTTCAGCAGACCAATGTCTTTTCATCAGAAATATTCAGTTGCCTTTGTTTTTACGAAGCACTGAAAACCTATATTTTTGGAAAGCTTTATCTTAACGGTTTTAGTGCTGTAAACTTGAAGTATTAGTTTTGGCAGACAGGATTTGCTAGAATTTTGACACCAGGTTCTTTTTCTGCTTTTGAAATTTCCTGTGACTTCTGAATGTATATGTTGCTATTTCTTTTTGAGTTTCAATAAAAATACTTTGCATTATTTGCAGCCTATTGCAGAGTTGGTTTTTTGGTCTTCATAAACTCTGCTTGTCATTCTATTCCTAGATCCTGTGGAAAAATTAATAGATTATTTAATACTTTAAAAGTAAAGATGCATATTTTCTCCCCTCTATACAAATCTATTTAATGACTCTGTCCCAGTCTTTCTAGTTGCCCATTGTGAGGTTCTTTTGGGTCTGAGCTAAAAAATAGTAACTCATTGGAGTTGCTTGTTTATATGTGAGCTTAAATTATTATCAAGTAACTGAAATTGAACTTAAACGGATTTTTATTTTTTTCTGCCTTTGAATTTTAATGGCATTCCCAGTGTTTTCATAATTTTTTTCAATTGTCTTTGGGTAATAACTGTTTTGTTTACTTCTTCTGCTGCTTAAATTTAATTATGCAAATACCTGTATGTTTCATAGTGAAACTGTGTTGTCATAAGCCTAATAAATTCTTTTGGGAGTGGGAACTGAGATAGTATTAGATTGTCATGGAGTTTGAACATTACATACATATGGAAGATACAGCTATAAAAGTAGGAATGTTGGGGCTCAGAAAAATGACAGTAAGTATCTAGTTGTAAGGTGGATTGACTTACAATGGACATAGAGGTACTCCTCACTTAACATCGCCCTGATTAACATTGTTTCATTATTACATCACTGATCTATTAGAGAACATACTTGTTTAAAGTTGCACATTGTTTGGTTATAACGCTATTTGGCCACCGCCTGTGATGTAATTGGATTCGCTTAACATGGTTTTGCTTAGTCACATTTTTCAAGAACGTAACTAAAATGTTAAGTGAGGAGCAGCTGTACTAACTTTAAAAATGTATATCTCTAAATGAACAGTACATTCTGATCGGTTTTTTTTTTTTTTT